TGGTATAGGTGGGGCTATACAAAAACGTGAACCTATGTTTCAGCAGCGGAGCTAGAACCTATTAGGACACACAAATACCAATTTTTAGACAAATCTGCGAAGACACGTGGCAATCATCATCAAAATACCGAATATCTGGAGGTACCGTTTTATGGGAGCTATATCAAAACGTGGACGTATACATACAATGTTTCGCCACCGCAGCCAGAACCCATTATGACCAACAAATGCCAATTTTTAGATAAATCCGTGAAAAAAAATATGGAAAAAAATCATTAAAATACCAAAAATCGGGAGGTACCTTTATATGGGGGCTATACCAAGTCATGGACCTATACATGCACTGTTTTGCCACCGAAGCTGGAACCCATTATGACCAACAAATGCCAATTTTTAGATAAATCCGTGAAAAATATGGAAAAAAAAATCATTAAAATACCAAAAATCGGGGGGTACCGTTATATGGGGGCTATACCAAGTCATGGACCTATACGTGCAATATTTTGCCACCGGAGCTAGAACCTATTATGACCAACAAATACAAATTTTTAGACAAATCCGTGAAAAAATGTGGCAATAATCATCAAATTACCGAATATCGGGAGGTACTGTTTTATGGGGACTATACCCAAACGTAGACATGATACAAAGACATGATACAAATTGTTCTGCTCAATTTTGAGGCTCTACGTCAAATAATTTGGGCTGTATCGTGATTTCAACAGACAGACGGACAGACAGACGGACAGACCGACGACCATCGTTAAATCGACTTAGAATTTTATGCTGAATATATATGAGTATATATACCTTATGGGGTCTACGACGAATATTTTGGGGATGTTACAAACGGAATGACAAATTTAATATACCCTCCTTTCCAAGGTGGAGGATAGAAAAAACAATGCTCCTCCAAAATATGACTGTTGAACAGAAAATCTCATAAATTTTGGATTTCCGTTGACATGTGCGTGTGCCCCTTATACCCAAATACGCCCACAGATGCCAGCAATAAATGTCATAATAGATTATGACAAATATTTCTCAAAAAAAAAAAAAAAAAAAACACCTAATACTATCTAAACAAATAATAATATTTTGGGATAAAATTTTTGAAAACAAAAAGCCGAAAATAAAACCCGAAGGGATTAAAACTTTGCTACCTTACATGAAAAACAAAAGAAAAAATGCAAAGCTCCCAAGTTTCAACAAAACACACGCCTCCAGATTTAGACAACAAATCTATCAACAATCCATTGAAGAGAGTCATTTATTTAAGTTTCTTGTTTCTGGTATTTTTTTTTTTTTTTTTTTTTTTTTTTTTTTTTTTGGTTCCAAACACACATGTGTGCCGCTAATGAAAGAGCCTCTATTTTGATACCATCTGTCAAAGTAAAATCAAAACAAAACACTGAACTCTAACAATGCCTGCTTGCAACAACAGCCAATCAGTCTGCCTGGTCCATCCACGCTCGTCCAGCCATTGAACAATAAACAAAACCTGAAAATGCTTCAGAAATGGAGGAAGAAGATGCAGAAGAAATATGTCATGTTTTGTTAACTGTCATTAATAAAGATCAAAAAAGCAAATGAGATGAATACAAAATAAAACGAAAACAAGCAAACGGATTCTGTGGAAAACTAAAACAAACACAACAAAACAAAAAATAAACATTGAAAGTAAAACTCCTTAGAAAGCGAAAAGAGCTACAACAACAACAACGGCGACAAAAGCAAATCTTTAACTAAACACCCCGCTAAATGGGATCATCAGCTGTCCGTAATTAATGTTAATCTTTAGAGTAACAATGCTCCGAGACACCCAAAGCAAAAAAGGCACGATTTTTCTTTGGCACCAACGCCAAGCCAAGAACAACAATGGCAGCAGCAGCAACAACAACAACGCCAACAAACATCAATAGTTGCCACATAATTAATTGCCTGCATTAGAGACAAATTTCTACCGGAAATCAATCTTTGCTTGTCTCGTTTGTCCGCCTTTGTTTTCATGTCACACCAACCAGAAGCTAAAGAAGCTTTGTAAATAATAGCAACAGCAGGAGCGGTAGCAGAACAAGAAGCAAAAAAGAGATTTATGAAGTCAAATTGTTTGTGCATGCAATTAATAAGAGAGGACATCCTGAAAACCTCGAAGGCGGACTTTTTGAACGGCAGAGAGGAGTGGCAAACGAAAAAGAAGAATTAATGGAAAATGTAAGTGAATTTTGTAAAATTAATTTATGTCGAGGAGATGAGGATTGTCTTCTAGATTTTCAAATAGAATAATTAATAGAACTTTTTATAGAAGAGAAAAAGTATTTAAGGACTTTTACACAAAGGAGATTTAAAAAAACCTATGTGGGAGACTCTTAAGTTACTATGAGCCATAGAAGAGCTGTAGGTCTTCTATGGCTCATAGAAGAGCTGTAGGTCTTCTATGGCTCATAGAAGAGTTGTAGGTCTTCTATGGCTCATAGAAGAGCTCTAGGTCTTCTATGGCTCATAGAAGAGCTCTAGGTCTTCTATGGCTCATAGAAGAGCTTTAGGCCTTTTATGGCTCATAGAAGAGCTTTAGGCCTTTTATGGCTCATAGAAGAGCTCTGTAGGTCTTCTATGGCTCATAGAAGAGCTCTGTAGGTCTTCTATGGCTCATAGAAGTGCTCTGTAGGTCTTCTATGGCTCATAGAAGAGCTCTGTAGGTCTTCTATGGCTCATTGAAGAGCTCTGTAGGTCTTCTATGGCTCACAGAAGAGCTCTGTAGGTCTTCTATGGCTCACAGAAGAGCTCTGTAGGTCTTCTATGGCTCATAGAAGAGCTCTGTAGGTCTTCTATGGCTCATAGAAGAGCTCTGTAGGTCTTCTATGGCTCATAGAAGAGCTCTGTAGGTCTTCTATGGCTCATAGAAGAGCTCTGTAGGTCTTCTATGGCTCATAGAAGAGCTCTGTAGGTCTTCTATGGCTCATAGAAGAGCTCTGTAGGTCTTCTATGGCTCACAGAAGAGCTCTGTAGGTCTTCTATGGCTCACAGAAGAGCTCTGTAGGTCTTCTATGGCTCACAGAAGAGCTCTGTAGGTCTTCTATGGCTCATAGAAGAGCTCTGTAGGTCTTCTATGGCTCATAGAAAAGCTCTGTAGGTCTTCTATGGCTCATAGAAGAGCTCTGTAGGTCTTCTATGGCTCATAGAAGAGCTCTGTAGGTCTTCTATGGCTCATAGAAGAGCTCTGTAGGTCTTCTATGGCTCATAGAAGAGGGCTAGGTCTTCTATGGCTCATAGAAGAGCTGTAGGTCTTCTATGGCTCATAGAAGATCTCTAGGTCTTCTATGGCTCATAGAAGAGCTGTTGTGCTTCTGTGGCTCTTAGAAGAGCTGTAGGTCTTCTATGGCTCATAGAAGAGCTGTAGGTCTTCTATGGCTCATAGAAGAGCTGTAGGTTTTCTATGGCTCATAGAAGAGCTCTGTAGGTCTTCTATGGCTAATAGAAGAGCTGTAGGTCTTCTATGGCTCGTAGAAGAGCTCTGTAGGTCTTCTATGGCTCATAGAAAAGCTGTAGATCTTCTATGGCTCATAGAAAAGATGTAGATCTTCTATGGCTCATAGAAGAGCTGTAGGTCTTCTGTGGCTCATATAAGAGCTGTTGTGTGTGTTCCCGGAGGCTTGTCTGTGTTTAACCCTTTCTCCTCGTGATTGACATCATTTCACAAAAACCATGACGACATTTCCGAATCAATTCAAATATTCAGCCTCTCCTGAAAAATCATTTTCCACCATGTGGTTTACACCCCATAAAAATGCATATTTCCCCTCTCCCTGTTCCTATTTTTTCATTTGAATTACTTCTATGAGCCCGAGAAGAGCTACAGCTCTTCTATGAGCCCGAGAAGAGCAACGGGTCTTCTATGAGCCAGAGAAGAGCTACAGCTTTTCTATAAGCCAGAGAAGAGCTACAGCTCTTCTATGAGCCATAGCAGAGCTACAGCTCTCATAGAAGAGCTGTAGGTCTTCTATGGCTCATAGAAGACTTCTAGGTGTTCTATGGCTCATAGAAGAGCTCTGTAGGTCTTCTATGGCTCATAGAAGAGCTCTGTAGCGCTTCTATGGCTCATAGAAAAGCTGTAGCGCTTCTATGGCTCATAGAAGAGCTCTGTAGGTCTTCTATGGCTCATAGAAGAGCTCTGTAGGTCTTCTGTGGCTCATAGAAGAGCTCTGTAGGTCTTCTATGGCTCATAGAAGAGCTCTGTAGGTCTTCTATGGCTCATAGAAGAGCTCTGTAGGTCTTCTATGGCTCATAGAAGAGCTCTGTAGGTCTTCTATGGCTCATAGAAGAGCTCTGTAGGTCTTCTATGGCTCATAGAAGAGCTGTAGGTCTTCTCTGGCTCATAGAAGAGCTCTAGGTCTTCTCTGGCTCATATAAGAGCTGTTGTGTGTGTTCCCGGAGGCTTGTCTGCATTGAACCCTTTCCTCTCGTGATTGACATCATTTCACAAAAACCATGACGACATTTCCGAATCAATTCAAATATTCAGCCTCTCCTGGAATAGCATTTTCCACCATGTGGTTTACACCCCATAAAGCTGTGCGTTTCCCCTCCCCCCACCACCTTTCTTTCAATTGAATTATTTTAGAAAAAGTTGGTTGTTAATCATTATAACATTTGTAGTTGATTCATGTTTCATGTACCCGTGTCTCTCTCTCTCGCTCCCCACCCCTCTCTCTCTCCCTCTCTCTCAACGGATGCAAAAGTGTTTCCAGCCATTAAGAAAAACATTATTCAATTACAATAAATTTACATTTTTTTCTTTTTTTTTTTGGTTTATTGAACACTTGTTCGATTTCCGAACATGAATGAAATCAATCGATTCCATAAATCTAGGAGGGGAGTTTGAAATCTCACTTCTTTGCCATATTTCAAATACGCTTCAATTGTAATAAGAGTGACAGTTGTCGTTTATTTCATTACCAAATGATTTGAAATGTATTACATTTCCATGTGTGTATGTGTGTGAGTGGTTACCCAACATACCAAAAATACAATACAGCTTGAGAATAATATTATGAAAATAGTTTATCATAAGAATTTTTCAACAATGCTTGAGAAACACTTTTTTGCACAAACTTTTCTCAAATCTGTCCTTTGTTGACAAATTTGTTTTGATTTTTTTTGTGAAAATTGTCAACAAAAAATTATTTTCTTTGGTTAAAATCAAAATCACGCGAATTTAGGACCCATTTCCGGACGAAACTCTAAGGTAATGATGAATAATAAATCTGGGAATCTGTAGTATAAATTATTTCAATCTCATTTCAGAATGGAGGCGTCTAAAAGTTGCAGGAATTCAACAGAAGTGAAGAATAAGTGGAGGAGATACAGAAGCTCAAATAAGGGGAAAGAAAGCATCTAGGTATCAAGGCAACAGGATGCAGTGACAGCTGGGATGGCAATCAATGAATGAAATGTGTAAAATAATTAAAAAAATGAATAAATAAATATTTTTTACCATTGAAAAAATAAGCTTTATAAAATATTACTTTCGTAAGCTTATTCTGCAATTACAAGAATAAGCTTATGAATAAGGGTTCCTTTTCGATTATTCTATAATTGTTAAACAAACATTTCTCAATACATTCTCAAGATTTTCTCAAGCTTTATGCTTATGTTTGTAAGCTTATTAAAATATTATTCTCAAGTCAATTTGGTATGTTGGGTATTGTTTTGTGTTGATGTGTGTGTTGGTTATAGAAATTGACTTTGACTTTTGTGGGTTGTAAAGTCTCCACCCCTCTAATGAGATTAAAAATCGATTATTTTCAATTATTTTGTTACAAAGATTTCAATTTTCCAATACTTTATTGTTTGCCATTTCTTGTGCTCTCTCTCTCTCTCCCTCTCTGTGTGAGTGTGTTAGTGTTTCACCACCAATATTTCATTTTGCTATTCAACCACTCACTATTCACTGAATGGCAAACAAAGTCGCTTACTTATATTTTGCACTACTGCCCCCTCCCTCCGCTCTGGCATCCAGCAATGCACACAAAAGGGTCCTTTACTAGTCAAATAATTGACTGGCTGACTCTTTTTCAATGAATGAGGGAATGAATGACTGACAGAATCAATGAGTGACTGCCTGGCTGAATACAACCATAGCCAAGTACTTACACTCATGTGTGATCTTGTTGTTCATGCATTTCATTTTCAAACAAACATCGAACAGCAGTCATCTATTGAATCAATTCATAGATACAATTCCAGCAATTCATGGAGGGCACTCAAGCGAGAGGGCAGTCAGGCAGGCAGTCAGCCAGCTAGTCATTCATTGAATGTATATTATTGCTATGGTGGTGGTATTCATGTGTGTGTGTCTGCTTGTGTTTAAGTGCATCATTCAAGTGGTTTTTGGATTATTTATTAAATTGCAATTTTTTCCGCTTGCCACCAAGGGGGTAAATCGGATTCGCTTTAGTTTTCATAGAATTTTTATTCCGCTTTTATTTGACAACTGTCGCAAATGCCAGTTTGTCCCAGTGGTCCTTTGGTTTCACTCTCGCTCTCTGTGTGTTTTTGTTATTGTTTGAGAGGATTTCTGTTCAACATGGTATTAAAACATTACAATAATTGCATTATATTGATGATGAACAATAAAGAGAGAGAGATAGCAATAACGAGAGAGAGACTGGAAAATCCCCACAGACCATGAGAGCCTTAGGGAAGTGTGAAAAAAAGGAACACTGTGTCAATGGCATAACCATTTCACAGTTTCCATTTCATTGAAACAATAGTCGATTTCCCTCGTTGACGTTTTGTTTTCTCTGTTGTTTTTTTTTTTGTGACTCACAAAAATAGGGGGCGCCAAGAGTTTGTTGTGATTTGTATTTTTTTTAACATTTTTATATTTTCTTCTCAATTTATTTCCCCCTTTTTTTACTTCATATTTATTGTTGTCGCTTCAAGTGGCTAGATTTTTTTTTTTTTCAACAATTTATTTCTCTATTGAAAACTTGTACGCAGGGACTACATTTCATGGTTTAATTGTTTAAGGGTCGTTTTCAAAAAAAAAAAAAAAAAAACCAAGAGGGCCAGAGGAGTTTGTCTATATTAGGGGAATAATATGCTTGGGAAATTTTTAATAATTATTTATTATCTTTCTCTGCCAAAAAAAAGGGGGAAGGGGAAAATAGTGAGACATATTATTTTCGTAGATATTTGAGAGTCAAGCAGATGTGAAGTGGATTTTTGAGGAGTTAGAGAAAACAAACCTCTTGACTCCGCTAGATAATTGAAATAAGTAGTCAATAAACAATCAATGCAATTAAGGTATTAAGACAAATCGAGGGCGGATTTCGTTCAAGTGTTTTATGAGCATGAAAAAATTATCGATTCATTAAAATTTATAGCTAGAATAGAATTAAGTGGGGAAAATGTAGTACAAGTTGGCAATTTGTCGATCATTGACGAGAGAAAGGTGAAAGTTCAGTTCAGCTCAATATGAGAACCAAACTAGAATTTTTTTTTTTTCGAATAGAGGGATGTTGAATTTTAATGAAGAGAGTTGAGTGGGAATTTTTCAGCGAAATTTAACAGCTTATCACATATTAAAGATAAAAGAATTTAAATTCAAATGATTCTAATGTGAAACTCAGTCAGAAATTTGATTGGAAATTTAATAAAGAAATACATTTTTTCCTTATTACACTGTGCGACAATATTAAATTTTTCAATAATTACGGCTAAAATTCAGCAGATTATGAAAGTAGATGTTAAAAGAAAACTTGGTTTGAAAGTTTACAGCGAAAAATGTTTAAAAATTTCCCTTAAAAGGAATCGAATTTTTAAAAAAATATTTTTTTAAAGACTCAATAGACGTAGAATATTTTTTTAAAGACTCAAAAGGCGTAGATTTTTTTAAAAAAAATATTTTTAAAGACTCAATAGGAGTAGATTTTTTAAGAAATATTTTTTTTAAAAACTCAATAGACGTAGATTTTTTAAAAAATATTTTTTTAAAAACTCAATAGGCGTAGATTTTTTAAAAAATATTTTTTAAAGACTCAATATACGCAGATTTTTTAAAAATATTTTTTAAAAGGCTCAATAGGCGTAAATTTTTTAAAAAATATTTTTTAAAGACTCAATATACGCAGATTTTTTAAAAATATTTTTTAAAAGGCTCAATAGGCGTAAATTTTTTAAAAAATATTTTTTAAAGACTCAATAGGCGTAGATTTTTAAAAAGAATATTTTTTTAAAGACTCAATAGACGCAGATTTTTTAAGAAATATTTTTTTAAAGACTCAAAAGGCGTAGATTTTTTAAAAAATATTTTTTAAAGACTCAATAGGCGTAGATTTTTTAAAAAATATTTTTTTAAAGGCTCAATAGGCGTAGATTTTTTAAAAAATATTTTTTAAGGACTCAATAGACGTAGATTTTTTAAAAAAATATTTTTTTAAACACTCAATAGACGTAGATTTTTTAAAAAAATATTTTTTTAAAGACTCAATAGGCGTAGATTTTTAAAAAATATATATTTTTTAGAGGATCAATAGGAGAGGATTTAAAAAAAAAATATTTTTTAGAGGATCAATAGGAGAGGATTTAAAAAAATATTTTTTAAAAACTCAATAGACGTAGATTTTTTAAAAAATATTTTCCCAAGGAGTGGATTTTGTAAATGTTTCAAACGGAGTGGGTTTTTTAAAGAATATTTTCCAAGGATTCAAAATGCGTGGATTTCTTACAGAATATTTTTCCATGATTTCACATGGCGTTGATTTTTTAGAGAATATTTTTCCATGATTTCACATGGCGTGGATTTTTTAAGAGAATATTTTTCCAAGGACTCAACAGCCGTGGATTTTTTAAAGAATATTTTTCCAAGGACTCAACAGCCGTGGATTTTTTAAAGAATATTTTTCGAAAGACTCAACAGCCGTGGATTTTTTAAAGAATATTTTTCGAAAGACTCAACAGCCGTGGATTTTTTAAAGAATATTTTTCTATGATTTTACATGGCGTGGATTTTTTAAAGAATATTTTTCGAAAGCCTCAACAGCCGTGGATTTTTTAAAGAATATTTTTCGAAAGCCTCAACAGCCGTGGATTTTTTAAAGAATATTTTTCGAAAGACAGCCGTGGATTTAAAAAAAAAAAATTTAAACTCAATAGGCGTAGATTTTTAAAAATATATTTTTTTAAAGATTCAATAGGCGTAGATTTTTTAAAAAATATTTTTTAAAGACTCAATAGGCGTAGATTTTTTAAAAAAATATTTTTTAAAGACTCAATAGGCGTAGATTTTTAAAAAATATTTTTTAAAGACTCAATAGGCGTAGATTTAAAAAAAAAAAAATTTAAAGATATTTTTTAAAGACTCAATAGGCGTAGATTTTTTAAAGAATATTTTCCCAAGGAGTGGATTTTTTAAAGAATATTTTCCCAAGGAGTGGATTTTTTAAAGGTTTCAAAAGGCGTGGGTTTTTAAAGAATGTTTTTCCATAATTTCACAAGGCGTGGATTTTTAAAAGAATATTTTTCCATGATTTCACATGGCTATTTTTAAAAGAATATTTTTCTATGGAAATAATAAAATAAAAAAAAAAATCAGTAATTGTAATTATGTCTTTAGCATAACTTTTAATAATAAAAACTTAAATACTTCTAAGGCATCCCCAGGCAACTTCGGTGCCCTGATCGGATTCTGACGACTTGATTTGTAAAAATCCACACTTTACGCAACAATTACATCAGAATCAATTTATATATCTGAAAATACAAACACTACTTTAAATTTCGTTATCACATTCCTCCAACTGTCATCTGTACTTCGAATGCGAAAAAAAAAATTGAATTACATTATGTAATATATATTTCTGCTGTTATTGTTGTTGTTTGGGTTTTTTGTAATTTCCATTACAAATGTAATATTGACATTAACATACGATAACAAAAATACAAACATTAGTGAAATAATTTCCCGAACAATGTCGTTGATGTCAACAATCAATGTTTAATTTCATTTGTATACTTGTACGTGTGTATGTGTGTATGCGTTATTTTTTCAGTTTACATTTCAAGTGAAGCTGAACACTAAACAACAATAGCTTTCGAGGTTATTTGGAAAATGCTTCAAACCAAAAAAAATCAACCATCAACTTTCTGTGTCTGCCTGCCATCAATCCCAAATCTGCAGCGAACCATGATGCTCGCTCGACTTTGGCCCAGGCCATACAACAACGTCAGAAAAAAAAGGTGTCATTGAAATCATTTGCTTTTCCAATTTGTTTGCTTCCGATATTATTATGTCGGAACAATAACGCTGAGGTTGAACAGTTGTTACAATTATTTTTTTTCTGCTGTTGTTTATTTCGAATTCATTGTTTTTACAATTTGTTCTATATTTAACAGTTGCGGACAATGATGGCTGAATGGCTGGTTGGCGGGTCGGTCGCTCGGATGGTTGGTTGGTTGGTTGGTATTGGAAAAAAAATTAACTTTTTTCCTCTAGTACTGGGTGGCTTTTGTTGTTGTTATTGTTAGTTTTCAGCTACCTGTTAATTGCTTATTGCCTTGACAATACGGAAAAAAGGTAACAGACAAGGGAAGAGGTAAAGGAAAAATGGGGTTTCCAATGGTTTTCCACGCTTTTTGTAATTTGTAATAATTTTGAGGTTGACTTTTTCCATTATTGTTGTTGTAACTTTTATTCTTTTGCATGTGTGTAAGTGTGTGTGTGTTTTTTTTTTCTGTATTTGCATTGAAGCGAAAGTGTTAATACTTCTATTTGTTTTTGAAAATGAAATAAAATAAATGTGAAGGTTGACTTTGTGGTTTATTGTTGTCGCATTTGCATTGTTGTTGTTGTTGTTGTCATTACTTTTGTTATTCCTTTTTGTCCACAGCTATTTATTTTGTTTGTATTTGTTACAAATGTGTAACACAAAAGTGAAAATTACGCAAATTGTTAATGTAAATAAATAAATAAATAAATAAATAAAAGACCTCAATTGTTTGCCAAACTGCGTTCGTATTTGATATGCAAGACAGAGGGAGAGTTCGTTTTTTTTGTCCGACAAATGACAAGTTGCTAGCCAATTTCAATATTTAAATAATTTATTATTAAATAAATAATTGTGTTACATGTTGCAGGGGCTAATCAGAAAAGCAAATATAAGTTTTAATTGTATTTTACAATCTGGGAGGTCTGCTATCCAGAGAAGACTTTGAATCTCGGGTGGGGAAAAATACACAAAATCGGGAGGAGCGTTTAAAATATTTAAAAATTGGGCGGAACTGATATGTAGAGGCTGTAATTATTTTAATATGATTTGGAACATAGCCTTTCGACAACCTGGGGGGATCTTTTCAAAGTTGGAATGACTACCACAGACGGAGAGACGGATTAACAGCCATGTGGATAATGTATCTATGCTATCTAATTAACGTAGATAAAGTTAAGTTAAGTAAATGGCAGCGTTATCTAAAATGTCGTAGATATAGTATCTATGTTATGTAATTGAGGTAAATAATGTATCTAGTCTATGTAAATAACTTGGATAATGTATCTAGACTATATACATGACGTTGATACTGTATCAACGTTATGTAAATGACGTAGACATTGTATCTACGTTATCTAAATGTCGTAGATATTGTATCTACGTTACCTAAATGTCGTAGATATTGTATCTACGTTATCTAAATGTCGTAGATATTGTATCTAAGTTGTGTAATAACTTGGATAATGTATCTAGACTTTATACATGACGTTGATACTGTACCTACGTTATGTAAATGACGTAGACATTGTATCTACGTTATCTAAATGTCGTAGATATTGTATCTAGACTATGTAAATAACTTGGATAATCTATCTTGATTATATACATGACGTTGATATTGTATCTACGTTATGAAAATGGCGTACATATTTTATCTAAATTATGTAATAATAACATGGACATGGTATCTACGTTATCTAAATAAAGTATGTATTGTATCTACGTTATCTATATGTCATAGATATTGTATCTACGTTACCTAATTGTCGTAGATATTGTATCTACGTTATCTAAATGTCGTAGATATTGTATCTAAGTTATGTAAATAACGTCGATAATGTATCTGGGCTATGTAAATGCCAAAGATAATGTATATACATACGTTATGTAAATAGATAATGTATATACATACGTTATGTAATGTATCTACGTTACATAAATGGCGTGAGCAATGTATCTACATCATCTAAATGACATTTAAATTGTATCTACTTTGCAAAAGTAATATAAGTAAAATATCTACGTTATGGAAATGACGTGGATAATGTATCTACAAGTCATAAGTGAAGCAAGTAATGTATCTAATGTGCGTTGACAAGGCATACACGTTTTCCAACTCTTGTGGATAATGTATATACGTTTCAGTAATAATACGAACAATATATCTACGTTATATAAATGGATTTGATAATGTATCAACGATATGAAAACAATGTGATAATGTATCTGCGTTGTGAAAATATTGTCGATAATGTATCTACGTTATCTAAATAACGTGGATAGTGTATCTGAGCTGTGGATAATGTATCTGCGCTATATTTATGTAGTAGAAATAATATGGATAAGGTATCTGCTCTATCTAGTTTAAGGGAGAATGTCATAAAAACATTTCAGAAAATGTATCTACGTTATGTAAACAAACTTAAAAAAGTATCTACGTTATGTAAACAGAATTAAGAATGTATCTTCACAATCTAAATGAGCTGGATAATGTATCTGCACTATCCTAACATAGTAGAAAATGTATCTTTATCATGGATAGTAAATCTATGATCATTAAATATGCAGGGTAATGTATCTGCACTACCTAGTTAAAGAAAATATTGTATCTACGTCCTCTAAGCTTATCAGAAATAGTATCTACGCTATGTAAAATTAGTTACAAAATGTATCTACGCCACAAATAAAGCTAGAAATGTATATACAGAAAATGTATCTACATTATTGTGGGAAATGCATCTACACTATCAACACAAAGATAAAAATGTATGTACATTGCCGTATTATAACTAAAACATTTTAATAATGTAGATTGTAAATTAGTTTAACCTAAGTAACTCAAATATTGTATTTTCGATATCTTAATAGGCTATAAAATGCATCTAGATTATCTATACAAAGTAGAAATCGTATCTTCATAAACCAAACAAGTTAAATTACATCTACTTTATCTGAATAACGCATATTAGGCATTAACTTCATCTAACTACCATCTACGTTATCTAAACAATACAATTAATGTATCTACATCATCCTTAATAACAATTCCTGGGCAAAAAACTCTATCACATTTGAAATTTTAAAATGCGTTTGAGCTATATATAACTCAAAGAAACTAAGAGTTTCAACATCTCTCCAAACAAGATATCTTAAAAATTTAATTAAATAAAATTCCGCCAGTACAACTAATACAGAGAACGATGCTAATCTGATAGTCTACGCCTCCTCTAAGCTGAGAAAATGACTATGAGGAGAAAAAGTCTTTTAAATCTCATTGAAAATTAAACTTATTTATTGTTTTAATTTTTTTCCGTCTTTGTCTTTGATTTTTTCCCCACCCGTAAAATTACACAATTCCAACATTACACAATAACATTTTTTGCAAATTGGTTATTATCTCTAAAATAAAGATTTTTCCACTAGGTGGCTCTAAAATTGAAATTTGCATGGCTAGCTACGCACGCATGCCATGCAAATTTCATTTGTGGCGTTTTTTGTGGCCAATATAACTTGAATATGCAACAAAATTTGAAATGCTGGAGGAAAACTTGTGGCAAAAACATAATTTTTTTTTCCAAGTCAGGCTAAATTATAGTTTGAAATAATGAATTTCATGGAAATTTTAAGATTTGAAAATGACCCCTTAAATAAGGCTATTGGGGCATTTCTTGGAGATTTTATATTATTTGAATTTTTTTGCAATAATTTGTAACAAATCACAATTTTTTTATTTAATTGGGAAATATTTTTTTCTCGCAATGTTTTTTTTTTCAATTAAATTTAAACTAAATTTAAAAAAAATGCAATTTCATGGAAATTTTAAATATGAAAATTGCCACCTCAAAATTGGTTTGAAAATTTGAATTTCATGGAAATTGAAAAAAAAAAATGGAAAATTGTGGAATTTTGGTCCAAGTGTAACTTGCAGCCATTTTTTTAAGATTTCAAAATTAATTATATGTTAACTTGACAATAAAATTTCTTTGATTTTGGATTTTTTTTTTGTTTGCTGAAGATTTCAAAATATTATGGTTTGTGGAAATTTGACAAAAAAAAAATCACCATTTGAAAAAAAAAATTGAATTTTCGTATAAAATACCTTCGAATTTTGTAAATTATTTTTAAAAATATATTTGTGACTCACCTTCATCTGCCGTTGCTGGATGCTGTTCAGCTCTGCTGGTCTGCCATACGAAACCGTTTAATGTTATTAGTCCAATGGTCACATAATACACTATGTGACGATACATTTTGGCTGCGGATTTTCGCCAAAATATTTAATGAACACAAAAAAAGAGAATGGGGGGAAAACACGCACACAAATCAGGACACACTTGAAAGGAATAGATTTTTGCCCAGGAAAATCGAAGCAAAAACGCTTTCCTTCCAATGGAAGAAAGAAATGATGGATGGACTTTTTTAAATGAATTGACAAATGTTAAGCTGTTGCTGCTGGAGTTGCTTTTGCTGCTGCATGGAGGCTAACATTTGGCTGGGTTTTCGTATTTGTTGTTGCTGCTGGTTTCATAAAATTGTGTTAAAGGACATTATTTTGAATTTTTCCGTTGTTGGTTCTTTAAAAGGTCACCCGTCTGGTTACTGTAGCTGGAAATAGAAGAAGTAGAGGAGAAAAAAATGAATATGAGTGGAAATTTTCACAAAATTTATATTTGTCACCAAAATAAATTTAAAAAGTTTTGCAGGAGAAAAAAAATATAACAACAATTCCCATTAAAAACAAAAAACAAAATATTTATGTTGGTGATTTATGAAAATAAAACACAAAAGAGGCAAATGTTGCTTCGTTTCAATTTTTTTCAATTTTTTGTATTTTTTTTTTGGAACAAGAAAAGTTGTTGATTTATATGTTATGATGATTGCTTTCTTGTTACGTTTGCCATATATTTTCTCCACTTGCTTTTATTTTGGGGAGAAGGGGGGCAATTTATTTTTTTTTCTTCCTTTTCCCTGCCATAAAGAATGTCAATTTGCCATTGCGCCTGGCCATGCCATTTAGAATAAGTTGTAAAAGTATCAAGAATAAAAAAATATAAATATTATGAAAAAAAGGGGAATACGAGGGTAAGAGAGAGAGAGAGAGAGAGCAAAAAAACCACCAACATCTGTACAACATAATAATAAACAACACGTGTTGCTGATGAGTTAAACGTAAATTTTTCTCGGGGCAGTTCCAACAACACATCACAACTGGCAACCCTATGGCCAGAGTAACAAAAAAAAATTGCAGGGAGCCAGAGAGAGAGAGAGAGGGAAGAATAGAAAGAGAGCAAAAACAAGTAAAAAGGCTGTAAGTTCGACCGGGCCGAACTTTAAATACCCTCCACCATTTGGTACAAATTTGGCAATTTTCAAAAAAAAAAAAAATAAATAAATAAAATCGATTAAAAATTCTGTTAAAATCTTAAAAATACCGAATGTAGCCGTCTATACGACAACGTGGATCTGCATAGGCAATTTTTGTCACAATCTATTACAATATTCAAATGTGAAAATTAAAAAAAAAATCTGTTTATAAAGTAGCTAAAATCATCAAAATACCGCATATAGGGGGGTACCATGGGGGTATAAAACGTGGACCTGCACAGACAATTTTCTGGCATAGGCTATAGTATCCATTACGAACTTCAAATACAAAATGTGAAATAATTCCGGTAAATAATGTCGCTAAAATCATCAAAATACCTAATATCGGGAGGTACTGGTATATAGGGGGGCTATACGAAGACCTGGACCTGCGTATACAATTTTCTGTCATAGGCTGCAGTATCCCATACGAATCTCAAATACCAAAATGTGAAATAATTCCGGTAAATAATGTTTCTAAAATCATTAAAATACCCAATATCGCCAGGTACCGTTATGTGGGGGCTATACGATGATGTGGACCTGCACAGATAATTTTCTGGCATAGGCTGTAGTTGCCATTACGAACTTCAAATATAAAATGTGAAATAATTCCGGTAAATAATTTCGCTAAAATCATCAAAATACCGAATATCGGGGGTTCCGTTGTATGGGGCAATACGAAGACGGGGACCTGCACAGACAATTTTCTGGCATAGGCTGTAGTTGCCATTACGAACTTCAAATACTAAATTTGAAATAGTTCCGGTAAATAACGTCTCTAAAATCATTAAAGTGCCCAATATCGGGAGGTACCGTTATATAGGGGCTCATTTTTTGTCTTAGTATGTAGTATCCATTACGAAATTCAAATACCAAAATTGAAACAATTCCGATAAATTATGTCGCTAAAATCATCAAAATACCGCAGATCGGGAGGTACCGTTATATGGGGGCTATACCAAGACGTGGACCTACATAGCCCATTTTCAATACCAAAGGTTCTGCAGACATAATACACATTTAAGTAAAATTTTATCTACCTACTTCATTTCGTTCGGAAGCTAGGGTGATTTCCACAGACGGATAGACGGACGGACATTGCTAAATCGACATAGAATTTTATGCTGATCAAGAATATATATACTTTGTGTTGCCTAAAATATATGTTTCGAGGTGTTACAAATGGAATGACAAACTTAATATACCCTCCATACTATGGTGGAGGGTATAAAAACAATTGAGTGGCAAGGCAAACAAAACAAAAAGGACATTTAGGGTCCTTGGCGGCTACTGTGCAACCGAAAAAACGCACACACATAAACAATACAAAAATTGCTACATTTTCTGGCAAAGGGCATAACAAATAATCCTTTACGCAAAAAAACAACCCAACAAACACACACATACACTCACACACTCATAAATATCCCAACCACTTGGCAAACTACCAGCAAAGGAAGTAACGAACGAAAGGACGAACGTACGAACCACTTGTAAACAAATTGAAATCCTTTGGTAATATTATTCAACAGTCAACAATATTTGGTTTTGCATTACAGACAAGCCCAACACACACACCCTCACATAACCACATATGGGTATGACTTTTTACAATATTGACATGTCAAGAGCATTGTCAAAGCCCCCACAGGCACAGACATACACACATTTACGTATATGCATGTCCAATGTAATCCCCAACTTCAAGTATTATTGAAATTCGAGCAGCCGACATAAATCACTCGCTGGAAAAGCGCAAGCAAGA